CTAGCACAGAAAAAATAACAATTATTTATTGTTCTGTGGTTCTAGATTGTATGTATTTCTTTTAGACAGAACATTGCAAACCATCGTGCTTTATGATTGATATTTAGCACCGTTTTATATAAATTTAATTGTGGAAATTGTTTCTGGAAGATACGATAACAGGCTTCGTTCAGTTTGCAACGATCTCGAGTAAAAAAGGTATTATCCTCTAGGAAAGACTTTTTATCGTCAAATTTTACACTGGGTGATTAAATTATTAGAGCCACCTTGTAAAATTCAATTTTTTTTACAAAAAGGGTATATAAGTATATATACAACTACAAAAAGAGTATATATTTATTTAACATTGTTATTCTTTTATGTAGTTTAAGTTGATCAATTTGTCCACGATTCTTAAATAATCATAATATTCCAGGTTTGTTTTGCGAACGAATCTACCGCGCAGATCCTTATGGATAGAGTTAAATTTGTGAGGAGAAGACCTGGGAAAAAATACAAAGCTTCCCTCTACCGTCATTACAACAGAATTGTGCATGACTCGGCGCCTTATCAAAAGGCAAAAACTGTTACAAAATTCCTTGATGACAACCAGATTAAGGTGCTCGACTGGCCTGGCACTTCTTCTTCTTCTTCAGATGCAAATCCACTAATGGATGTTAGCGATCACGTTGTTAATCCCTGTCCATTGCCTTATGTTTCGAAGACAGGACATTTTCTCGCGTCCTATTCCTCTCTTGCCTTCAATTTTACCCTCGATTATAAGTTGGAGGAACTGGTATTTTTCATTTCGCATGATGTGACCTAGATACGCCGTTTTCCTTTTCTTGATGGTTTCGAAAAGTTGGCGTTCTTGGTTTATTATTTTAAGGACATCTATATTTGTGATTTTCGCTATCCATGGTATTTTTAGGATACGGCGATAGAGCCACATTTCGAAAGCTTCTAATCTGTTTATATCTCTCGTTTTGAGTGTCCAGCCCTCTACGCCATATAGCAGCACTGACCCCACGTAGCACTTAGTAAACCTTAGTCTCAGTTGAAGCCCCTCAGTTGGCCCCCACAGTTGGCAATTCGCCAGATCTGAATCCAATAGAAAATCTTTGGAAGCTCATGAAGAATGAAATTATTAATGAAATTATACCCACAAAGCGCCAATTGATCTATCGCTTAATAGCAGTATGGCACAGGGGTGGAACATTCCACAAAACTACTAGAAATTCATAGAAATTATGACAAGAAGGTGCCAGGCAGTCATTGCTGCAAGGGGTGACACTACCAAGTATTAGACTTTGGGCATAGTGTTTTCATTTTCATAAGTAATTACTCATTTCTTTTTTAATATATGTAAACTTTATAAGGTTCTAAATCACAGTAAAATAGAGTCAAGCACAAAAAGTAAAATTTTATGGGGTGGCTCTAATAATTTGATCACTCACTTTATTTCGGTCGACAATGTACACAGTAGTTTTGCTCTTTCATTGAAAAATATAACTACATTTCCAGTCTAACCAACATTAACCAAATAGTAACACAAATTGGTTGTGTTATTCCTTACTGTAAATGTTGTATAGGTTATAAATCTGTAGCAACTGAACCTGAGAAATGTTTAGAACGAGATATTGCGATTTGTGCCACTGCTAAATCAATATTTAAATTTTTATTCACACATTTTATTTATAGATGAAAAATATTTCTTCCTCATTATCAGGAAAAATGTAACGTAGTTTATTAGTTTAGGGGGAATATATTTAACCACTACGAGTGATCCATACATGAGATCTTCAGAATGTCTGTAAAGTTAGCATATTCATTTTATAAGGCCGAATTTAGACCAACACTATAATTTCATGCAAATGTATAACGAAAAAAAAAAAAAAAAATTAATAACTGAAGCCATTCTCGAGAAACAGTGGGTATACTAACTTTTTGGTGAGGATAGCACAGCCATAGCTAAATCTTCAAAAGCTACCCCATCATTCCCTAGCTTCAAACACTGCCGGAAAAACTGGGGATTTTTCCATGGATGAGTTTTGCGCTAGGGGGATGATAGGGTAGTTTTTGGGGATTGGTCAATTTACCAATCAACAACAATTAATTAGCATTAAAATATGTCTCCAAGATAGGCTCTGTAATCCTTTCCATTGTTGAGATATAGCTATGGCTATGCTAGCTTTATTGTAAAGTTTGTTTCTCAGAAACAGCTACAGCAATAAATTTTTTCTTTCCGTAATAAATTAGCAATAAATTATAGTTATTCCCAAATACTATAGTTGTCCTTTTATGTATCCCTATCTTCGTCAACTTATCTTTGCTACATGCCTTACAGCTCACTGTAAGATTTTGTACATATTATAATTGTTAAACTTGTCTATTACTTATAGTAAGTTAAATGGTTATCTCTCTATATCTATATGCAGTAGATATTGTAAGGTTCTAATTTTAACAGTGTTTGAAACTTCTTTTTCTTTTCTTTTTTCTCAACACTTTTACTCCCACGCCAAACACAACAACTTTTCTCCTATAGGTCATTATCTTTCTCAACTTCTCCTTGTATATTCCTGATCCATCACATTACATTCTCTAAGCAGTCTATCAGTAATTGTTAAAAGTTAGTTAAAAGGTGTAAAAAATAGAACAATATAGGAAAAAATACTGGGTGTTCAGAAGATTATCAAAATTTAAGACACCAATGACAAGGAAGAGAAGGACAAATATAAAATAACAAAGATAGTTAAAGACTTCTACAAAACTTTGTAAAGTTTGCAAAGCCTGCCTAATAAAACAGCAAAAGAAAATGTCAAAACAAAAATAAAAAGCATAGGATCAGATGTACTACCAAATATATAGACATCTGAAACATAAAGAGCTAAAAAATAATAAAGCTTTAAAACACCACAGTACAATTGCTGAGCTTTTAAATATAGCAAGGCAATAATAACATAATAATCCCAATACTATCAGAGCTATTTAACATATGTCTCTATAGTAGCACAATCCCTAAAGATTGGAGCAAGAGTCTAGTAAGGCTTCTCACAAAAGGGGATAAATGTGACCTAAATAATTATAGATCATATTATTGAATGTGTACAAATGGTTTATGAGAATTATTAACAACTGGTTGACTCACAAAATATTAACTGGTAATTAACAACTGATAGAACAGGCTAGCTTCTCCAAAGGATATAGTACACCAAGCCATCTGCTGATAATGAAAACATTGGTAGAGAAGGCCAAAGAATACCAACAACCCATATTTCTTGCATTCTTAGACTATGGACAAACATTTGACAGTATTGAGATGTGGGCCATAGAACAAGCTATTAATAATTGTAAAATAGATTTGGCATGTAGGCAACTAATACAAAATGGCAATAAGTTAAACTAGGTACCTCATATTTACTGATGACATTGTGTTTATAGCAAGCACATTCAAGGAAGCAACTCCCTGACAGCTCTCAATATGTCAGCCTAAAAATGAATATGGGGAAAACTAAAACAATGTTCCACCAAGGCTAAATTCTGAAACTTGACAAAGAGAATGAAAATGCCAAAATAACTAGAAGAGTAAGACTAGTTTAGACCTTTTTAGAGTGACTGCCAATAAGATATAAATAGCTATATGATAACCAACCTCTGATAGGGCAAATAATTACAAGACAAAAATGTCATAGTTTGAAAATTTACAGCTAACAAAATAATCTAGAAAGCATACAGCATCTTGGCATCTCCTTAAATATATTATGTTGCTCCTGGCACATAGTACCATTTTTTCATGTGTTGAAATAGTTCTTGATGGACTTAATCTTATTTATATCTCATATTCATTGCTTTCATTAATTACACAACCCAAAAAATTAAACAAAATTTGGTGCTGAAGAAATAATAACGAATTTTAAATATTTTTGATGGGCATCCACTTCTGAATGTAAGTCTCTCCTAATTGCTTCTGTTATCTTCTTATCTGGCTATGTGACTCACCCAGCACCATTTCATTTTTGTTATATCTTCCATAATGTTCCTTATCTTTAATAATAGATTTAGTAAGAGGTAAAACTAAGAAAATATTTCAGTGAAGAACTGAGAGAAAGATTTCATCAGGATCATAAAAGCATGAGAACACGTTATCAAGGAAGATGAGATAGCCAATAATTGTTGACTATTGTTGGAGCATTCAGCGAGATTCTTCTAGACACTCACATGATAGAAAGTTATATAAAAGGAAATTCTTTGGTGATGAGTTACAAAAGTTGTGTTTTTTGTTTCATTACTTATGTGTTTGTTTTTTTTGTGTACATAATATATTTTATATGTATGAAATATAAATAAATAGTCTAATTCATATGTTTTTTATTCACTAGGTAAAATCAATAGGTTAAAAATTACGAAGTTAAAAATGATTTTTTTCTTTTCTATAAAAAGCCAATATTAACTTGTCTCCAAAGCTATTTAAAAAACAATTGTTGCTACAACAAACATAAATACATTTTTGAAATCAGAGCATCAAAAATATTTATTAGTTCTTACTTCTTTGGCACTAATAATTAAAAAATTAATAGCGTGATGCAAGACAAGAATATCCAGTATCCCAATAGTAGGTATCTTTGCATTAATACTAAATAAATTTCAAGGTAGAAGTAAAGAAAAAGGTATATAAGGGTAAAATGAAGGAAGCTGTCCCTTTTCATTTAAAAATATAAACTATTTCAGAGAGAAATTGGTGGATGTTTATCAGATTACTTAAGTTACTACTAAAGAAAAGAAAACAGTCCGACAATCATAATAGAAAATAAAAATATGGTAGATAAGAACAATAAATAATGTATTGAAGACAATACGATTTAAATAAGGTAGATATACACCGTTAATGCTCTATATCAGAAAAGCAAATGCTTCCCAGTTGGAAAATATAGCTAAAGTCTGAGAGCAGAAAAGTGAAGAAAATATCAAAGATATAAGTACTTAATGGTTCATTGATTATAAAAATGATCCTAGGTACTTACTTTTTATTCCTTGGATCCCTTAGTTTCCTATTCAAAGGCACTCTATCACTGAGAACAGTATTTAAAGCGAATTTTTTTAAAGCCTCTTCCCCAGCTTTTGCATCGGCTCCATCCAGAACAGCAGCCTCGCCGTTATCGCCCAAATTCGGGATAATCCTGCTTTCATAGTCTCTTAATCTCTTTTCGAAAATTTGGCTTAAGTTGCTACTTAGTTTGCTAGATTTGTAACCACCGTTCGGTGTTTCTTTTGGTATTAGTTTTGATATAAGTACAACTAAGAAAATAGTAACTACTAATATAAAAATACATCTGACATGGATCTTTTTTAACCGGATACATTTTAATAACATTCTTTTCTATTTGTGTTGAATTTTGGTCATACTCTACTATTCTTCGGCTTATGATTTTAATTTATCTATAACGCTGGCATTATGCTAATTTTTATTATCTTTTTAAGCACCGTTATGGAGTAAATAAGGAGATTTTACCCGTAGTGATATTCACCGGAAGACTAAAGTAAACTAACTGTTGTTTTACATATACAGAACATCAACAATCGCATTTTTTTGTGTACGTCAATCCACTCGAATTTGAGGTTATGTTATTGGATGGTTATTGGCTATCAATAAGCGCGATGATGCCAGATTAAAAAAATAGTTAATCTAATGTTTTATCACAAGTTTTATCCAAGTTTTCAATTATCTGTTCAACAACATTCACTTTTATTGGCTATTATAAAATATCAACTCTTCACAATTTTATCAATACTTAGTAGTTAGCATAGGGCAGGTTTACGTGATTCTTTCGAAGTAGGTAGGCACATACTTATGCTTAGGCTTATCGTAGACGTATATACCCAAACAGCACAAGTACGTCCCATGGACGTCCAAAGGATGTACCTCATTAAATGTCCGGACATCCCACGGACATCCGTTTACATAATTTGGACGTCCCCGGGACGTCCAATAAGACCTAAATGTTACCAAAAATAACGTCCCCTTGACGTCCCAGGGATGTTCATGGGGACGTACATAGTACATATACAGAACTTAATACGGACTTATATAGGACCTAAGAATAGGGTGACCATATGTACTTTTTTTAGTAGGACAGTACTTTCTTTTCAAACGCTGTCCTATTGTACTTTAAAATTTATGAAGTACGCCTAAATGTACTCTTTTTCTTAATTACACAAAATAAAGTCCTACTTTTTGTCCAAACAAAATATAATTTTGATTCGAATTGATGCGCTCACTGTTGATTAGTCTATTAACCTTTTGTCTTAAATTCCGACACTTTTTCTCGTTTTTTATATTATTTTGTGCTGTGTGGAAAATAAACAATTTCATCATGTCACCGCCTAGAAGAAAATGCCATTTTAACGTCGAGTTGTAAGCAGAGTATCCTTTTATGAAACAAAAATCAAATGTTTCACCGCATGTTGTGTTTTGCCAAGTTTGTAAAAGTGATGTTGATATTTCTAACAGTGGTCGCAGTAATATCAAACAACATTTGTCAAAGAAAAAACACATGTTGGCTACTAATGCGAACTCGAAGAGCAGCAAATTGGAAAACTGTGTTAAAGAAGAAAATTTAAGTTCTGAAAATATGTTGATTGCTGCCAAGGAAGGTACTTTTGCTTACCATACAATTGAGCATTTGCAAAGTTTCAGATCCTTAGACTGCACGTCAAAACTAATTGTAAGCATGTTTGAACCTAAATTTGCGGCAGCTCGAACCAAGACTGAGGCGATTGTAAAAAATGTTTTAGCTCAAGAGGCTCACCCACTTAGAAATTGACCTTCGAAAAGCAAATTTCGTCAGCATCACAATCGATTCGTCGAATCATAGAGAAATTAAAGTTGTGCCCTTAATGGTAAGATATTTTGATGGAGAAAATGGTGTCCAAGTAAAATTACTTCAGCTACGTGACTTACCTGGTGAAACATCAGAGCAATTAAAAGCTTACGTGGTCAATGTTTTGAATCACCATAATCTACTACAAAAATTCATCGGAATGTCTGCTGATAATACAAATACAAATTTTGGTGGAATGAGAAAGAAGGAGTGAATAATCTATTCAGCAAATTAAATGCTTCTCGTGGTAAACCCGTGATTGGAATTGGTTGTCTGGCACACATTTTTAATAACTGTTTACAAAATGCGACGGTCGTCTTACCCATAGACATCGAGGTTATTGCGGTCAAGATTTTTAAGTATTTCTATATTTTTCAGTCAGAGTGGAGAAATTAAAACAGTTTTGCGATTTTGTTGATATCGAGTACAAAAAATGTTGTCGTTTTCAAAAACAAGATTTTTGAGCCTAATGCCAGCAATTGAACCAATTATACAAATGTTCGAACCCTTGAAAGCATATTTTTTGTCGATTGATAATTGTCCAACAGTTCTAAAACAGTTTTTTCAAAAGCCAATCAGTGAGGCATGGATGTGGTTTGTGCATAACATTGCGTCTCCCTTCCACAAAGTGATTTTAGATGTAGAAGGTGACAAAATATGCGCAACGGAAGCCGCTTTGGATTATTTCGAACTCATAAATAAGCTTCAAAATCGCTTAAATAAGTTATTTTTACCTCTTAAAGTAAGAGAGTCCCTTTCAAAACTGGAAAATATGAACCTTGACCTTAGTGTGAACTATCGGGATATCTTTATCACGCATGTCAAGCAGTTCTATTCAAATTGTGTAATATATTTGAAAAATTGAAGTGAAAATTTAAGTGAACTAAAGCTATTTGGATGAGTTAACTTGAAAAAACAAGTTTCTTGGGCTGAAATTTTATCGTCGTGTGAGGCTTTCAAAGACTACGTAGATCCGATATTGAATCAGGACGAACTGTTTGATGAAGTTAGTCAAATACGAACCTACGTTACAGAAAATAAAATCACAGACTGGAATTCGAACAATATTTCTACCGAAGATCGATGGCTCGAAATCTTCCAAAAAGAAAGGGCTTTAAAATCTCAAAATTCTCATGTGAGTTTGTTTTTTGTCTGCCGGGACCAGTGCGTCGATTGAGCGGTTGTTCTCAAATATCAATAACTATTGGAGTCCCAACAAATCGCAGTTGAAAATATCTACTCTGGAAGCAATCATGCAAGTCTACACAAACTTCAAAGTTTCGTGTAATGAAATGTTTCAGTTCTTAAAGAGTAAACCAAAACTTCTGAAGGAAATTCATAGTTCCAAAAAGTACGACTGGTACGAAAATGATGATCAAGATGTTCAGAAAGGAACGTCGAAAGAAAATTAACTATTAAAATTTATCATACATTTTTTATGTACTTATGTTTGATTAAAAAAATCGCTCTTATCATTGTTTTATTAAAATTCGTAAAATTTTGACTAGGGCACTAGCAGTGTACATATTTTCTTAAAAATTATAAATGTACTTTTTTTTTTGTTGAAAAATTATGGTCACCCTACCTAAGAAGGATGTATTGGGGACATCTATTGTACGTCCACATGGACTAATATAGGACCTAAATGAGGATGTATACAGGACCTAAAGGGAACTTAAAATTAATAAAATGAAAAGCAAAAATAAATGTGATTTTTATTGTGTACTTATATTAACATATGTATTTAAATTTATAGTATTTTTTAAGCACACTACTCCTACTTACTTTACAAATGTAGCAACACACCACAACCACAAAAATTACCTATAAAAGTCCTATATACCTACTTAATGTCTATAATAATAAATTACCAAACTATAAACTAGTATCGAAAGCATTAAACTAATTCTAATTACAACCACAACCACAATCCACGATGATTATAATTCGAGAAATAAACGAGATAAATAGAAGCGTCGTTAAAAACATAACCACATTCTTCTTTTATCTCCTAATTTTTAAATTTCAGTTCCACTACAGAACAAAAAAAGATTTTTCTCTAAAAGGAGCCTCTGTCTGTTTTCGTATAAATTAATGGTATTTAAAACTAAATATAACTTTTTAAAATAAAGTTTAGTAGGAAGATTATATTTTGTAAAAAATATGCTTAAGTAAAAAAATGACACAGTTAACACCTAGAAAACGTCCCTAATACATCCCTAATGGGACGTCCCTTGGACGACCTTATGGGACGTCTCTGGTATGTCCTACTAGAAATATCCCTTGGACGTCCCTCGGACGTCCAAAAGAAGTCCCGGGACGTTGGGACTTTAAAACGACATAAAAATGGACGTCCCAAGGATGTCCTGTGCTGTCTGGGTATTCATGTACAACTCTATGAATAGTATAAATATGAATAATATGATAAATAAGGCCTATGAATAGTATAATAAAAGTAAATATGTGTCCTACGCAATAAATAACGACGCACTAGTCAACATAAAGTACGCATTTTTTGAAGCTTCACGAAGAAATATCGAAAGTAATTCAATCGTGGAAAATAATATTAATGGAGGATATTAACAGTAAAGTAGGAAGAAAAGATACGGATGAAATAGTAGGAAAATGCGGAGAAGACACCACGAAGAACAATGGTGAAAGATTCATAGATTTATGCAACCAGATTCAACTCAGAATCTTAAACGGATACTTTCCACATAAACTGATACACAGCTAGAAATGGATTCAGGAAACACGAAACATAAATTCAATAATCGATTATATTGTAACACAACAAAAAACCCCGACTGAGAGTACAAGGTGTAAGACCCATCGAGCAAAAAGACAAAAGAGGGAATGTTAAGGTAGTGGGGGCAAACATATTGTTAGACAGGAAGTGCAATCTTTAGAGGCCACATTAAACAAGGAAAGAGAGTCTCTCTCCTTGTTTGACATCAAATTTAGTTGGGTTATGTTATTGTTTGTCTCAAATGTCACATGAAATCTTATTTGTATTGAAGTTTTTTAACAATTGTGTCGCATTTTAGACTCTTATCATTAATAATTAATTAAAACTTTCTCGTCTAAGACAAATTCTGAAAAATATTATATTGCTACTGTTGATAAGTGTCGGAAAATTTAAATTTGGCGCATTCGCATTTCCGGATATGTCCGCCATCAGAGGCCACTTTTTTGGTCTCCTTTTCATAAGGATTAGATTCCCTCTTTTGTCTTATTGCTCGATGGTAAGACCCCAGAGAAAGCGCAACATGCGGTAGCGATCACTATTTATCACAAGATATCATACCTCAGTACTATACATAAAAAGAGTGATAAAAATAATTGTGAAACTTACCAAGGAATAGCTGTATCCGGATCTATGAGTCGAATATATAGAGAGGTTTTAAAGAACTGAATCGAGAGAGAATACTTAGATTATGAAGCAGAAGAGCAAGCAGGGTTTCGTACGGGTTTATCCACTATTGACCACATTTTCTCCTTAACCCAGATAATAGAAAAAAAGATGGCACGGAATCAAGAGATTCATATGTTGTTCGTCGACCTACGGAAAGCCTACGGCAGCGTTCTACTGAAGAAGCTGTGGCAATCAATGGACAGCACGAATAACAATAACAACATACAACCAACTAGTCCGAAAAATCATCA